TTACTATGTAAATTTCTTTGCAAACAATAGTATTGTTTGCAAAGAAATTTAAAGAAATTTACATAGTAAAAGAAAGGGTTTTTAAAGATATCTTAGTATTCACCAGGTTGATTTTAACACTCTAACCACTATTAGATGCATCTTGACAAGCTTTACAAAAGTCTTTTAAGCAAGAAAGATGATTAACTTAGTATGAAAAAAAGTTTACCTTAGGCAAACACCACATTCGCACCACAGTAAATTTATATAGTAATCTGAGTCACTTTTTACTAAAATCATGCATTAGTTGACTGGAGAATTATCAATTAATATATTTTTTATAATAATATTTAATTATCAGACAATAATTAAGATTACCAAAGATCAGATAATTAGCACCATTCTAATAATATTGATATGTTATAAATTTTAAAATCAAGATAATTTATCTGTTATTGTAATTTGGTTAAACATCTCAAATTTAATAGCCTAATAATTAATTTTTTATAGGTTTAGGCCACAGATAAGTTACTAGGTATACTTAGTTTTTAGGTTTTCTTAGTTATATGTCTGAGTTCTTATTCTTAGCACTAGGCTTAAAATACAAAATCTTTTTCAATCATGTAAAAAGTTTTCATTAAGTTTAATAAAGATAAGAGCAAGGTCTCACCTTAAACATTAAAATAATAATAATAATAATTAATCTTTTATATATACTACTATAAATTCTTATATATTTATATAATACAAAAAAAATTTACAAAGTATAATTCATAGGTTGCTTCTATAGAATCAAGAATTTTTGCAAAAATCTACAGGATTTGATATTCTAGTTAGGCATAATATATAGTTAAGTCAAGTTAGTTTGTATCAGAATTATTATGACTTCTACTATGAACTAAAGTTTGTATTAGAATTATTATAATTTTGTAAGATATAGTATATATCGTAGAGCACTGCATACAGTATCCAGTGTGACATGATTTTTTATATAGTTAAAAATTAAAAATCACATGGGTTACATAATTGTTTATATTACATGGCATATATAAATAATATTTTAAAAAATTGATTTACATTATTTGTCATGTCAAGTACTGTATGCAATGCTTTACAGTAGGTAAAGTCAAGTTTATTCTCATCTAAATTACTATATAGTTTCAAAAATAAGCACCTCATAATTTTTTTATATCCAAAAATAAGCACTCCTTTTAATAGTTATCAGATTAGAAACTGATTTAAACTTGGTTTTCTTGTTTATTTTATATCCAAAAGTAAGCACCCTTATAATAAAAAAGAGTGTTTATTTTTGGAACTATACTGTATTGTGACTTCTACTATAAGCTATAGTAAAACTTGCTATTCCAGTAACAATAGTTTGCAGTTAAAGTTGAGTTAATTAGTATTATAATTTCTATTATGAGTTTCTGCAAAAAATTCTGTTATAGAGCTTACTTGCCACTCTAGTTATCATAATATGTAAGTTAGTTTGCATTAATTATTGTAATTTTTATCATGAGTTGCTGTAAAAAAATTCTGTTACAAAGCTTACTTGCCACCTTGGTTATCATAATATATTGTAAGTTAGTTTGCATTGAATTATCGTAATTTTTATCATGAGCTGCAATAAAAAATCTTGTTAAAGAATTTGCTACTCTAGTGAGACATAATATGTATTCAAGATCAAATTAATTTTGTATTGAAATTATTGTGGTTTCTATCATGAATTACTGTAAAAAATTCGGTTACAGTACTTACTATGGTGATACAGTATATGGATGTTAATAACATATCCATATCCCAGTTAAGTATGGCAAAGACACATAAGTTTACATAACGCATGAATATAAATCATAAAAATTCAAGAACCCAGTAAAGCAAACTACAATACAGTCTAATCAAGTGAACAAACTATAGCTTCGAATGCAATAACTGGTAAGGCTTTCATAAAGTTGGTGAACCAATCTCTTATTTTTGAATGCCATTACAATTTTGAAATTCGAATATGATTACATTTTAAACCCAGAATAGAATCTCAAAAACTATTCGGATTATATTTTCAAGTACGCATTTGTTGGTTCTGTGTAAGAGCTTTCCTATAAACTATACATGATAACTAATGTTATATACACATCATTAATTAAATTGATTACTCTCTGTTCTACTTCTATGCTGCTAGCTAATTAATTGTATTGGTATACCAATCGAACCACATGATTACAACACTAAACATACATCCAAGAGTCAAGTATCCCCTTTTTCTTTATTAAATTAGGCATATGTCCAATATGGCTAATTGGTTAATTGGACATATGGACAACAACTAAGGTTAATTATCCACTTGTTCAATTAGTCATATGTCCAATTGGACATGAGGGCTAGGGCTAATGATTTTTTATTGGACTTAAAGGCTAGTAACAACACTGACTTATGGTGTTTAGCACCATAGGCGCATTTTAGTAAACTTGAAAATATCAATAAAAAAAAAATTGAGTAAACAATTAACGTTAAGATGTGTAACAATTTTTTTTATCCATATACTATATATACAATATTAACGAACTTGATATCCAATTGGTTTTGAACATACAAATATGTCCAATTAACTTTGAAAAAAATTGATACTATATAAAAATAATTTAGATTTATTCTGTTCTTAAATAAAGTTTTTTTAACAACTATCTGTTTAACCTTAATAAAAAATTTTATTTTTTATAAAAATTTATTTTCACTCTGGTCACTATATCAAGATCGTAGAGTATACACTGATTCTATGTGAAAAATTTTAAATTCCGTTTATACTAGTGTGTAACTATTACTAATGAACTATAATGTTCTTCACGTAACTAAAATTAAGTAATATTTCGGGAGTTTTTTTTGCCAAATTTGTCGATGTACCCGAAGTTTCGTGATAAACCTGTCATGTGACCAATAATTTGGTTCTATCGTTACACTAACGTCACGTTCGCGTCGGCCATTAAAGCTTACTCAGCAAGCGCATAAATAATCAAAGACAATGTATGGCGGATAATCTACACATAAAAAGTTTAACATTGCATTTTTACGCGTAAATGGAATTTTTCCAAAAATTAGTAATTCAGGGGCAAGAAATCAAATTGTCACTTTCAAACTTCAAACTTTGAAACGGTTTGTTTTTGAAAAGGGTACTCATAATCGTGTAACACGCTTTATAATTCAATATAATATTCGGAACATTCGGTAAATATTATAAATGAAATAGAACCGATATTACTCAAAATAGATAGTTTAATAATGAATGCTAATCAGTTTCGTCCAATTTTTTATTTTTATCAATCATATAATATCGAGTTAAAAGAGAAACATACATGTATTTTGATATTTTTCGTAAAAGAAATAATTTTATATTTATATATAAATTTTGGTTTTTGGTGTTTAGAAATGTAAATGTAAAGCATATATAAAACAGGTGGAAAAGTATACAATTTTTCTTAAAAGAAAAAACTTATGTATAAAAATTGAGAAAGAAATTTACAACTGTACAAAAAAAATAAACATTAAAATCGAATTTCTCCATAGATTTTTTTTAGCGGTATGATTTTTTGCTATATGTAATGTGGTTCGTCTTTCTTTGCGTGGTTTGTTGGCGATCAAATTATCAGAAGAACGGTAAAAAAAAAAAAAAAAGAAAAACACGGAATTCGTCGAATAAAAAGAAAATCTAAATGAAATAATAGAGAAAGGTCGTGATATTTAAATCCGAAAAAGGAACATGTCAAAATAATTGATCTAATGCAGAGAAAAAAAAAAGGAATAAAACGAAAAATTGAGGACAAAGGTCCTTTATCATAACATTATGTCTTTTTTAAAACGTTAATAGGTTCAGATGTGTCGGTGAGTGTCCAATGAGCAAGCCATATTCGCAACATTTGCAGTCTTCACGGATGATATTTCGATCGCATTATTGAAAGAATGTCGCTTAGAAGTGGATTGTGACTTTTTCATAACAGGAGAAGGTAAAGGTAGTGCACAAATAGTTGATTCGTGATAAACCGGAATCTGAAAAGCAGGGGAAGGTTTTCTATAGAAAGGATATAGACCATTAATAGAAGTTGTAGAAGTACCAGTACTACTACACTTTGTCGGTGTGGAAGAGCCAGATGAAAGGGGAGAGGCCGGCGGCGTGAGATAAGGGTATGCCGACAAATGGTCTTTGAAGCGACATTCTTCACTACAATACAAAGTACCCTAGAGAAACAGAAAAAAATAGAAAAAGCGCATACGAGTAAAGATCAATTAAATGCGTCACAAAGAGCTGTGGACACGAATAAAGGCAAATAACAATAAATTGACAATAAATAACGATAACAATAATAAATACCTGGGTTTTTTGTTCACAAATCAGGCACCAGTCAAGATCCATTTAATCAAGTACTGAGAACGAAAATGAATCAATGATAATATGTATAGAATATTATGGATATATATATATATATGATATATATTATATATATATTTGTATTATATATTATATATATATATACATATATAGATAGATATATAGATAGATAGATAGCCGATAAAAGTAGATATGCAGCAGATACTAAGGAGACGTGTTTAGAGTATTAACCGTGAAGCTATGTCGTGAGTTTGTATGTTTTAGAATAACCAAAATAAAAAAAATATTGAACGTAAAAAAAATAAATCACAGACGTTAAAAAGGAAAATTTTTAAAAAAGACAGCCCAAAAAAAGAGGAACAAGAGAAATTTGGGTGAACCGATAAAGGAGCAAACTAAAATAAATAGAAATCAAAAGTCACGTATTCGAATAATTTCAAAGAATTGAAACAACACGATTAAACAGCAAGAGGCCTTAAGGACAAGACTTTGCGTGACAATGTGTTGAAGTGTAAGAAGAATGTGTCTTTTAGCGAGTTGTCGTTCCGTTATGAGGACAGGAAGCGGACACACTCCTTTTACTTAGTTGCTTCTCTCGTGAAACCTCAGTTTCTGTCTTTTTCGAGGACGGAAAAAAGAAGAAAAAGGGTGTGGGAAAACAAACAATGGCGTGAGAGAGGCCTATTTATATTGTTAACTCAAGGACTTGAATACTTGCACTCGCATTTTTTTGTAACGATTAATTGGAAAGTGATTGTAACGAGGGAAATAAATCAACAAAAATTTTTAAATTAATATTTTATTTAATTGGGATATAATCAACTAAATGGATCATATATATCAGAGAAAATATGGTTAATTGATGTGAAATTGTTTGTATCACTGAGAATCAATTCACCAACTTATTATTATTGTGTTGTTCCATAGTTAGAAATTATAGTTCTGCGGATTAGGCAGTGATTTTGTACGATTAGGACATGCGGATACCGAACATGCAAAACGTAACGAATGTAAAGTAACATGGCGCATTAAATTTACATCGACATTATCGATCGTATCTCTTTTTATAAACGTTATTAGAAACAGGAGGAAAGATGAATGAGTGATAGTGTGCAGAGAAACCATACCCAGTGACCAATTTGTGTTGCAAGAAATAGATAAGGAGATATAAAAATGAGGTTTAAAATGTAATGGAAAGATACCGAATCGATTATTGTTGAGAATGCACGAAAATCACAACTTGGTTAAGACATGCAGGCGACTCAAGTGACCTTTCATTTTGAAGATGCATGAGTTATTACCAGTCCCATTTTGATAATAAATGCGAGATATTTAATCGACGATTCTTACACTGTATGACAATCTTTATTATACTAGAATTCTTTTCGTAAGAGAATGGTCACATTGTATTATTTAATATTGTCATCTGACATTTCCGCGCCAATAAATGTCAAGAAAATAATAAGCTAACAAGATTTAATCTCGCTCGTGAGAGAATATCATGCGAATTGCCAATGCAATCAGTTGACGATGACTAATAAATGGTTAGTCGAAAGGAAAAAAAAAAAAAAAAAAAAAAAAAAAAAATCAATATATGTAAGTCAAATGGTCACAATCGAGAAAGATCTATAACGAGATGTGTTTGATGTAACAAATAATACTAATAAGTACTGTCACATTGTTTTGAATATTCCCGAGTAAACAAACATACTACTGCTGCATGACAGAAGTTTACGGGAATAAAACAGCATTTTATAATCTTAATCTATATCGTACTTTACTGTATATACTTTATTATACTCTATTATACTGTATATTCTATAAATTATACTATATATATGCTCTATTCCACTTTATCTTACTTTATTTTACTATACTATATTTCATTATTATATATACTTCATTATATATACTTGATTATACTTTATATTATTTTTTATTACAGTTCATTAATAGCTTTTTAAGTAGATATTAGTACTTACCTAAATTGAATTACATGGTTATATGCACTATTGCAACATAAAATCTAATGTGGGATAGATCAGATCTTACAATACCGGGTTAAGTTCCAAAGATCTTTAAGGATGTTCGCGCGGGGCAATTTATTCGGAGGAAATGGATAGGAAAGTCCTTTCGTATTAAGAAAAGATTGACTCGGCTCAAACGCTTTTTAAGATCTTGTATGAAATGTAGTTTTTTTTGAAAGGTATTTATTATTTATTTATTTATTTTTTTTACGAATATATGTCGGTAGAACAAAATATCGAGGATGAAGAAATTGAACGTAAATGTTTTTTGAATGTCAGATTTCTTGACAGAACTTAAAATTTTCTCACCCCACAAGTTGAAAATTCACAAGTTTTTATCACATTATCATAGTGCAGTGCATTGCATGGTTCGCAATCAACCCATATGAATTATACATATAATAAGGAATTCATTCTATCTAGCATAGTGACACGTGTAAAGTTTTAAATAGTATTCCTTCGAACCTTTATAAGCATACTATGATTTGTCTTAATAGATGTTGCACATGATGTTATATAGATATAAAGGTAAAAACCCGAAATGCATTGAGATAGGGCCATGATCAACTAAGAAAAATGTGGAGCGAAGCGAGATAGTGTAGAAGATTCGTTTTATCAAATGCAAACACTTGGTTCCCTGCTCTAAATTGGTCTTCAATTTTTGTCCAAAGTTCGATCTGTGTCCACGCCACAATACTTGTTCTGGTGATGCCGGTATATGGTCGCTCTTTTCACCGCCGCAGATCCTCTCATTCTATCTTAGAAGAATCTTAAATTCTAATTCTTTCTATACCTCCTATTTACAACATGTGACGGAACTAATTGTCGCATCTTTCTTTGTTACTCGATTTAGTGTCACCGGAAAAAAGTAACCCAATTTTTATGTACTGTACAGTACAGTACTTTATCTGTACTATCGGTGATGTTTCGTGGGTAAATCATTTATTTTATACACAAGGTGATGCTTCTGGTTCGCGAAATCGTAATCGTTCATTTTTCCTTGCATCCAATAAAAGCACTCGATTTTAAATAATTATAACATAAATTACTTTTTTTTTTTATTTACCCTTGCGGAAAAACTTTTCTAATTTTTGTGCGTTCCAATGGAATTCTTAACGTTCATGTACACGTAACTACCATTGTCTCCCTTTAATTTTTCCATATATATATGTTGCGTCACCTATCAAATGTTATCAAAAATTTACATAAATATCATTATGTTTCCGGAAACAAATGAAAGTATCCCATAAATTACAAATTTCATGTATTTGTAATCTCATTTGACACAATTATCACATGCAATTCGTTCACTTTATTTGGTCCTTGGTTAGAAAGGAAAAAAAAAAGTAATACCATGCATGCATATAGTTTAGTTAAATAATTTATACTTTTCATATGTGCCAATGCAAAAAAAAATGTTTAATCATGTGCTAAACAGTTCTCTGCATATTCATTGAAGAATTTGTCAAGAACTTACGACAATGTTGCTTGTCATAATCGTGATTCGGTAAATATATATATATATGTACGCACTAAGGCGGTAAATAACCAACTACCCAAGATACAACTATTACTACTAAAAGCGAATTTTTATTAATAAAATTAACAATACATTATTTAATTATAAAGTATATATACACTATTTAAATACATATAAAGAAAATTATAATATTTATCTATATTTTTCTAGCTTGAATACTTAAAACTTACATTTAACAAACTTTATTTTTTTTTTATTTGACGGTTTTAAACACTTTTGAAAGTTTTTTAGTTAATTCCTATTGTGTGAATCATTTTGAATAGACCGACTTTAAAAATACTATAGGTCGTTTTATTAAGCGTGACACACGACCTTGTTACATTTAAAATTAAATATAAAAACCTAAAATTTTACATATTAATAAACAATCAAAAAAATATATATAATATTTACAGTATAAAATATATTTAACCAATCAAATTAGCTATTTTTTCTGTACTATTATGCAAGTGATTTTGGTGTACTTATTAGAAAAAAGGTTGCAAAATTTTATTTAAGGTTATTATAAAAAAAAACAATAGCTATAGTATCAAATAAAATATTAAATTTTTTGTATAAAGAATTATTTTACAATATAAATTTTATATCACACTTTATTTTTTAATTTGTAATACAGACAAATTTGCTTGTATTTTATTAAAAATTTTAATTTGTTAATAAAATTTTAAATATTGATTTTAGCTATATATATTTTTAAGTAAAATATTTAATTATAAATTAAAGTTTACCCTCAAAGAAAGTGCTCAAATTACAATTGCAGGAGTAGAAGTAAAGGTCAAAAAAAAAAAAAGGTAGCAAAGTACCTTGGTACTTGGGTATCTAAGAATGCTAGAAAAGAATATAATATCAAAATAACAAAAAAAAAGGTGTAGCAAATAACTAAAGCTATTAAAAGAAAAAAAATATTACTAGAGTAACTAGTATATATAAATAATAAGGTCTTGTTATTAAGACTAGAATACTGGCTTTAATGCTATTTATTGTCTTAGAAAGTATGTAAAAAGATTTAATGCCCAATACTCTTATTAATTAAAAATAAAGCAAGCTTAGTAGTGACAACTATAAAGAATGTACTAATACACAAAAATCTTATAGAAGTAAGAACTCTTTGACAAAATCAGATTGTATATTACTTTATAGAGCTCACAACAAGACTAAATAATAGAAATGTAGTAAAACATGCAACCTGGCTAAGGCTAAGTCAAAAAAGTCAACTAAATTGTAAGAGTATAAAGAATATTTTGAAGATGCAAAAAGAAAGATTAGATAAGTATAGTATTAATTACAATTTAGTTTTAGTATAGTCAAAGTCACAAAATCATTAAATCTAGAAATTAGAAGCAATGAAAAGTCAAAAGAGCTTGAAATAGCCAAAAGAAGAGTAAAAATAGCAGATAGACTAAAGCAACAAGGTTTGTATTTATTTTGTAAAAAACAGAAGCTAAATATATATATGA